TAATAGTAGGGGAAGTTTTAAAAAGTGGACGGGCTAGACCTAAAATCACATGAAAGGAGGTTGTCTCGAAATACCTACAAATCCTTGGAACTAATATAGGACTCAATGGAAGAGAAAATCCATTTAGTTTTAGACTTGGTAGAAAATTCTATTATTATTATTATTATTATTATTATTATTATTACTACTACTATATATATATATATATATATATATTATATATATATATATATATATATATATTTTACCTGTACGTTTTTATATTGATAATGCTGATGATGTATTGTGCTAAATAAAAGAAATGAATTCATATGGACGACCCCAACTTTGAATTGTAGTAGTTGTTGTTGTTATAATTAGAAATGACAGAATAGCTTTGTAGACACTTGTACTAGTATAATTTTGTCATCCTGGTCCCTTTACTCTACAAAGTTTCAACCGGACACTTGAACTCATGTGTGACGACCCAAAGGGTCATCACCGGATTTCTCTCTTTTCCGTGCTTCCGAGGCCTTTAAAACCTCGCTTTTAGTTGCCTCGATTTGCGTGCGCAGTCCGGGCGCGAAGCCGGAAAGCTTTTATGTTGAAATATGTGAACTTTGTGAAAAATTTGAAGAATTTTGATATTAATATTGCTAAAGTTGACTTTGGTCAACATTTTTGGTAAACGGACCCGGACCCGTGATTAGGCGGTCCCAGAGAGTCCGTAGAAAAATATGGGACTCGGGCATATGCCCGGAGTCGAATTTCGAGGTTGAGAGCCCGAGAAATGAATTTTTCTGTGAAATTATTTTTCTGAAATTATTAAGGAAAATGGAAATGAAAATTGATCAAAAGACTATGGTATCGGGCTCGTATTTTAGTTCCGACGCCCGGTAAATATGTGTTAAGCGCTTCCTGTAAAGTTTGGTCGAAATCGGATGTCATTTGACGTGTTTCGGACCTAAATATCTAAAATTTGAAGTTATGAAGTTTGAAATGAAAATGATGATCTTGATGCTTGGTTCAATGATTTTTGATGTTATTTTGGCGATTTGATCGCCCGGATAAGTTTGTAGGATGTTATTGAGTTAGTGTGTGTGATTGGTTAGGAGCCCCGAGGGCTCGGGAGTGAACGAGAGGTGGTTCGGGGTGTTTTTACACTTAGAAAAATAGCAGATTTTGCTTCAGCTGTTGCAGAGCCCATTTCCTCTTCGCGATCGCGTTCTTCATCCCGAGTTCGCGATGCCTTACTCCCTCTTTCTTCGCGATCGCGTTCCAGCCCCGCATTCGCGTAGGGTTATTTGACCCTGAGGGCTGAGTCTCCTTTTCCCCTTCGCGTTCGCGTTTGTACCCTCGCGATCGCGTAGCTCTACAGAACTCCTTCATCGCGTTCGCGTGAAATCCCACGCGTTCGCATAGAACAGTTCCTGGACCCCAGCAATTTCCTTCTACGCGTTCGCGTCTGTCTCCACGCGATCGCGATAGCTTACCCAGTTTACCCTTCGCGAACGCGGCCCTCTCCCGCGAACGCGAAGGGCAATTTTGCCCAGCGAATTTTTAAGTTAAAAACAGAACAGTAGCTCGGGATTTTCACAAAAATACACGAACTCCTTTCTTTTCCAAGCACTTAGGCGTCCATTGAAGCTCCCTTTCATCAAAACTTCTTGGGTAAGCATTGTTCAACTTGTTTTCTTCAATTTCCTCTATTAATTACTAAATTCCTAGCCCTAAACCTTGAAATCAAAGTAGAAAATGGGGGGTTTTGGGTAGAGTTAGGGCTTTGGGGATTTTGGGTGATTCAACCTCAATTTGGGGTCGAATCTTGAAATAAATTATATATTTGAACTCGTGGGGTTATGGGTGATTGGGTTTTGGTCCGAGCCTCGTGTTTGGACCATGTGGGACCGGTGTCGAATTTTGGTGTTTTTGGAAGAATGATAGGAATTTCATTTCAAGGCTATGGGATTATGTTTTGAGCCCTTATTGATATTATTGAACTAATTATGCCTAGATATCATTGTTTCAGAGTTGGATTGTAGAGGAAATGCGGTATTAGAGAGTTGATCGCTATTCTTAGACCGAGGTAAGTGTTTGTTCTAACTTTGGCTTGAGGGAATAGGATTAGGATGTTATTTGCTACTTGCTAAATGTGGAGTACGGTGTATAGGCATGGTGACGGTTGTCTATGCACCGGAGTCTAGCATGACCGTGAGTCTTAATTGTTTTTAATTCGAATGAAGTGACACAACCTTCTTGTTTAATTGGTAAATTTCATATAATGTGAACGGTTGAGGAAGAATTGTGATTGGTATATTTTGGAGCGTTGGCTCGAACAAGAATGTGATAGTTGAGAAAGAAGTGATTTAAAATAGGATGTGTTGTGATTATTCCCTTACCGGGACGTGTAAACTATTATTATGTACTCTCCCTTGCCGGGATATTTGGGCTGTTAGCTGTACCCTTGCTGGGTTAAAGTGTTATGTTGTCGAATTCCCCTAATGGGGCCTCCTTTACAAAGCCCGACATTTTGAACTATGATATGGGATCGTGTGGCACGCCGTCCACTTATATATTATGAAATGGGATCGTGTGACACGTCGACCACTTATATATTATGAAATGGGATCGTGTGGCACACCGTCCACTTATATATATATCTATTATGAAAGGATCGTGTGGCGCGCCGACCACTTATATATTATGAAATGGGATCGTGTGGAACGCCGTCCACTTATGAATTAAGAAATGGGATCGTGTGGCGCGCCGACCACTTATATATGAGCTATGGTATTGAGATAGTTTCGTTGTTATATCCGTTGATCTGTATTCGTTGTATTTTCCCCGAGCATGCCCCCTTCCCCTTTTTAGTTGATATTCTCTGTTGTTAGCCTTTGTATATATATATACCTGCACAGGTTGTCTTCTTTTGGTAGGTCCTGTCTAGCCTCGTCACTACTTCGCCGGGGTTAGGCCAGGCACTTACTAGCACATGGGGTCGGTTGTGCTGATGCTACACTTTTGTGCTTTTTGCACAGATCATAGCACCGGAGCAGGAGCCTTTGGTCAGCAGTAGGAGCGTTGGGAGCTTACTTCAGTTCGGAGATTTCCGAGGTAGCTTGCTGGCGTCCGCATGGCCCGGAGTCTCTCTTATCTCTGTCTTTAGTTTGATTTCCCTTGTATAGGATCAGACAGTACTGTATTCTTATTCAGACTTTGTTTTTAGCATTCAGTAGAAGTTCGTGAGTTAGTGACACCAGATCTGGGTAGAGGTGTATTTGAATTTCCGCACTTGGTTTCAGTTATTTATGTATCGAGACTTCCGCTTTTATATTAATTGCCTCGTTCTTCTTTATACTGTTAATGATGTTGAGAGAAATGTTAAACTAATTGGCTTGCCTAGCTCCTATTAGTAGGCGCCATCACGACTCCCGAGGGTGGGAAATCCGGGTCGTGACATCATACAAAACATAGCTTTGAAATACCTTCGACCTTTGACCGAGCACATGTGTCAACGAAACATTGAGGTGGACAAAATGTGTGTAATTCACGCCGGGCAGTGAGCGTGAATATGAATATTTTGAATAATACATTATTAAAATATGATGAAAAAACAAATAAAAAGATAAACTCAATAAAGTAAAAAAAAAAAAAAGAACAATGAACAAAAGCAAACACAGGAGACTTATCGTTCTTCCCAGCACCCCATCCCATCTCGTTGGGTTTTTTTTTATTCATTGACGTTACAAAAATATTTGCATAATTAGACATATCGCTTATAAATTAATTATTAAGTAAATTTATATGACGAGAAACATTAGTGAATAACTTGATCGGAGATGATGACTAATCCAAGGTTTTTTATTTTTCTTATACATATCTAGCAAATTTTTTTAATTTGACGAAGCGGTATCTCGTGACACCGCATACAACATAGAGGTGGAACCCGAATTTGAAGTTTATGGATTCCTAACAGTAAAATACTACAGGATATTGTGTTGGAACTCCAGCACACGGAAAAAAAACTAAATTGCTCCTAACAGTGAAATACTAGCTTTAACTTTCAAAATCTGAATATCTGCATCTAGTTATTATTGCATTAAATTTAATAAATTGATGTTGTGTTTTAAAATAACAGATAATGAATGAAAGTGATGCTCCGTTGTGCAATTTTACAGTCCAATTCGTTCACTAACTTAAAAAAGAATATGATAACGGAAGAAAACAAAAACTTCAAGTGACTTAAGCAGTTAGCTATTTACTTGGGTTGAAGCATTAATTTAAGGGGATTTACTCTTTAATAAGCTATACTATAATATTGATAAAAATCATATTTTATTCAAGTGATACAAATAAACTATTTCATGTCAATAACACGTCAATTTTAAATAAAGAGAAAGAAATGAAAGAAAATCTATACGGGGCGGGGCAAAAATTTGGAAAAAGGCCAAACGGGGCAGGGCAGGGCGGGTCCAAATTTTAGTGGGTTAAGGCTTGCCCTTGCCCCGCCCCGCCCCGCCCCGCCCCGCCCCAACTGCCATCTCTAATTTTAGTTCCCCTTCTAAAATTCGATTTCGACAATGGTGTCAGGGAAGATGCAGCTGCTGGTAAAAGAATCTCATAATTTCATTTGGTTTTCTCTTATTTTTCTGTCTTTTCCAATTTTTTATGAGATGTTCTAAATTGTGGTGGTTAAGCATTGTACTTTTCATAGTATTCTGCTAAATAGGCAGTAGACAAAGGGACTGCTTGGATTTTGAGAAATGATAGTAAAAGTAAAAAGAAGAGGAGTGTACTGATGGTGAGGACTGTTTGGGATTTATTTTTGGGGAAAAGGGGATGGATTTGGACTTTTTATAAAAAAATAAATAATATTTTATAATAAATAATGTGTCTAAGGTGGATATGATGTGTCTTTCATGTCAAGCAAGTGAGCAGTAGAGGTGTTTAAAATTTATGTTTTGATCAATTCAAATATCCGGTTGAAACTTTGTGGAGTAGAAATTTATGTTTTGATCGAATTCAAATATCCGGTTGAAACTTTGTGGAGTAGAGGGACCGGAATGACAAAACCAAACTTTCTAATGGCCTATTTTGCCATTAGAAATCACAAATCTATATTAGAAGTTCGCAACAAAAAAGCCCTTGTCATCAAACACGTGAAAACATAGAAAGAGAAAAGGAGAAACAAAAGACTACATCCTTTTTGCTTGATCATCAGCTCCCACTTCCCTCGGCCATGAAAATACTCATCTCCAAGCATAGAACAAAATGAAAGTACACAACAATTATAAGTAAACCCAAAATTGCATTACCTGTTCCAAGTAGCAAAGGAGGTCTTGAGTATCTGCATGATCCTTCTGCAATAAATAGCTAATCGTAAGCATAAATTAAGGCCCCTAACCTCAACTGCCCAAAAATCAGCCATAGGAAAGAGGAAAATAAAGAATAAGAAAAACAAAGAAACTCAATGACATTACCTAGCTCTAGCTTGGCGGCTTCTTCGAGGATGACGATGAGGAACAAGAACATTAGGGTTTAAAATTGGTATTTTGTGGTATCATTGCAAATTCACTAAATTTTCCGACGGAGAAATCAATTCCATAGTATTTGAGTACAACTTAAATGATAGTAAATGTATAATGATGGGCTTTGATTTAGTCCTGGCCCAATATGTGAAAGCAACAAGCATCTAATATTAGTAAACTTTAAAATTCATAGCAAGGATTCACAATCAAGGAAAGAGAAGAAGAAGAAGGGTCAACTCACCTAATTTTGGAACTAATGCTCATCCTAGACTTAATCTAACAAACCTGATGTATACACGAAGTGCTGCTAAGTTCGTTCCTAATTAGATACAACTTATAAAATCTGTATAAATATGTAACTTAATTTACCGGGGATCTAACTGTGTGATGGTAACTTCATTTGTTGTATATTTGGTTGAAGAATAAGCAGAATCAGTAAATTTGCTTCCTGTGAAAAAACCAGGTTCCTTAGCTTGAGGCAAAACGGCGTCATTAGCCAACATCATAACAACTGTAGACATGTCTGGTCTGTCTTCTGGACGTTGTTGTACACATAACAGAGCGACATGAATTAACCGTAGCAATTCAGAAAAATAACACGAATCCGTTAGATGCACTTCAATTAGCTCCAATGTTCTACCTTCTTTATGAAGTCTCCACGCCTGTTAAATAACATAAGCAGTACAGAATCAAGGAACATGTATCAGTAGTTGATGCGTCTTTAATGAATTCAAGTTATATATACTGACAATTAAGATTTTTTGCACTATCAGTGTAGCTTAACCTTGTGATAACATATTAGTTACATTATCACTTGCAATTACCTTACAAGTGGTTTGCATATATAAGTATTTTTTACACCTTTCAATGCACAAAACTTAAATCGTCTTTAATTAACATACAGGTCTTACATGTCCGAGAAGGTTGATATTGCGAGAAAATCCTCTGTTCCTCCTGCCACTGATTATCTCTAGCACCAACACGCCAAAGCTAAATACATCTGATTTAATTGAGAAAACACCATCGAGCACATACTCTGGGGACATGTAGCCACTGCATCACATATTAAACAGTAATAGTGTTAAGACAGAGGATATTATAAATAAGATACTGTAACTGCTAAAAAGTGGTGGTATCAAATTTCTTACTGTGTCCCAACCACATGGTGTGTATTAGCACTAGTCTCATTCCCTATCACACTTCTAGCTATGCCAAAATCCGATATCTTGGGATTCATGTCAGTATCTAGCAGAATGTTACTAGCTTTAAGGTCTCTGTGGATAATTCTTAGCCGAGAATCTTGATGGAGATACAGAAGTCCTCTAGCAATTCCATTGATGATGTTGAAGCGCTTAGGCCAGTTGAGTATCGTGCTCTTCTTTTCATCTGTTAAAAGGTCATCTGTTAGAACACCGAGAATAACATTGTAAGAAAGTGCAGCTAAAACTTGATCAAACTATTAACTTTATTATGTGTACTATTATAGGTTCTTTGAATGAAAAAAACATAGAGGTTCTTTGAGTTAAGCGAGAGTAACCAGACCAAATATGAAGAAATCTAGACTTCTGTTGGTCATGTACTCATAGACCAGCATTTTTTCTTCTCCTCCAACGCAGCAACCTATAAGCTTCACAAGATTTCGATGCTGAAGTTTGGCAATGCAAATAACTTCATTTTTGAACTCATTAACTCCTTGCGAGGAAGACTTTGAGAGCCTCTTTATAGCTATTTCTTGTCCTCCCTCCAGGATTCCCTGTGATGTCATAACATATAGATGGCTAAATAATTCAAAACTGTCATCTGTTTACTCTCAATTATAGTACATATTATTTGCTTAAAGAATGATTCATAAGCTTACAATGTTACCTTGTAAACAGATCCAAATCCACCTTCTCCAAGCTTGTTCTCAGCTGAGAAATTAGAGGTTGCTTTAGTTATAGTTGATAGGGCAAACAGTGGAAGGTCTAGGTCATCTTTCAAATTCAGCTTCCTCTTGTTCTTCTTTGTCCAAGTATACAAACCTATAGTCAAGCCAACCACAGCCACTCCAATAAATAACGACAGATTCAACACAAGTAGTTTTGTTTTCTTCCTCGAGCCTGAAAAAGGAAAAAGAACGTGGAGGGTAAATAAACTAAATGTACATGGAAAAATAAGGTTCCTCAATAGTAACCAAAGCTCCCTACTGGACACATTATGTGAATTTCTAACAAATAGCTAACCGAAAAACAACTAAAGCTGACAATTAGGAAGTTTAGTTGATTCAGCTAATACTCCTTATTGATCAAAATAGTATAAAATTTGTCACACAAAGTTTACCTAACTCTGATGTAGCCATCCTTATGTAAATGTCCTGTCCTCCAGGTAATTCTCGAATGTCAATTAAATCACCATACCAAAGCAAACAGCCACTTCCGCCATTGCGTATATCAAGATTTGAGTATGCCACACAAGAGCAGTTCTTTAAGCAAGCTCGTTTACACACTTGGAGTGTCATACTCACATCAAACCAAGAATACTGTGTATCTGGAAGTTTTATACCAGAGTACCTGAGAAATCCGTCGCCATTCTGGCAATTAAGGGGTGTCCTTCTAACACACCCGCCAGACCAGTTTGTCTCTGCCCAATTTCTTGGATGTTTAGGCACAAACTTGTCTAAGCAACTACATACAGGAGAAAGTATGATGTTGCAACTACCATATGCACCACATGTTCCATAGTTGTCACAGGTATCTGCAGGTGATGCCAAATAAATATCCCATTCGTGTCTCTTCTCATCCCATGTCCAACGCTTAAGCATACCATGATTACTCAAGGTTAATTTGGATATAACATAACTATCCTGTAGCATGAAGCTGTAAAATGCTTTCTTTTCATCAAAATCCAACCTAAATGTATAAATGGGATTTTTTGTTAGTCCTGGTACACCACTCCAGCGAAGACCATTCCATGGTCCGCCACTGAACACCTTAACTTTACCTTTCCTCATGACATCTTGTGGATATCCAGTAGGATCACAATGAAATGTATATTCTCCTGGAGCTGGATCACATTCATTCTTCCATGAGGAGAGGTAAAATTCTTGACCGGTCACAAAGTTCTTACCAAGCTTCATGCCCGGTAAGAGTGTATCTGTAGGATAATCAAAACTCTGCCACATGAAGTTCTCAGGTTCACTATCATTTGCATCTCTTACGATAAGATTCCCCGAATTCAACAACTGCGCAATTGGATTCTTCGTGGCCAAAGGCCTTGACGTATTAGTACACCACATGATTGTATTTGAAGCAGCGAGAAGAGCAAGTCGCCCTGGATCGATGAATTTCAACGTAACACCTGTTGTATTGTTGAGTGGAGTTGCTCTATTGGCAACCCATACCACAGAGTTGTCAGGTAAATCATGCTTATACCATATTCCAACATAAAAATTATTCGTGAAACTACCAGGGGAAAAAAATCCCATTTCAAAGCTTCCATCAGATGAAGTGATGGTTTTCCCATCTGTTAGAAAGTCAGATGACGTGATAGTATCTTTTGCACTAGATATAGAGCATAGGAAGCCACATAATAATATCTGCAATAAGAACTGAAGTATAAGCAGAAAACATTCCATTTGCACCCTTGCTGAAAAATTAGTCTTTGCCTTCCAGTGAGAGTCGAGACCAGTTTTGTCAATATTAATTACCCTATTCTTTTTTAAGTCATCTCTTCACTCTCCTTCAGCCCATTCAGGTACAGAATCATATCGTTTGGAGAGAAGTGAAGACAAATGATCATAGAAAAAGATTGTCAACATAGAGACAAGTGATATCAGCCAAAATCAAATATCCGTGTTAAGACATTAAAGAACTGCGCGCTTTATCACATGCAACCTTATCCAAAGGTTATCAGCAACTACTAAACCAAGCCATCTACCAAGTACTGGTCTCATAAATACAAAAAAAAAAAAAAAAAAAGAAAAAAAGAAGTTGACCGACCCTTTTGGAATTTGGAGTTCAATAAACATATATATCTAGTGGTCATCAAGGCCTTAATTAAGAAGCATAAAACAATTTTAATTACCTGTTAGCTAACTAGCACGTCTCTGTTGTAGGTGCTACATGGGGGCAAATTAAGTGCTGGAGCCTGGAATGTACTATTGATCTTCTTCATATGAATGTGGATATTATTTTCAGTGTAAGTTTGGAAGTTTGTATTGATTGTTGTTGGCTGACCTCAAAAACCGGAGCTTTCGATATTCACAAATAAAGTTTGCATTTATTTTAGGCTTGCCTTCATTTTCAAATGGAGGTTTAGATTATTGAAAACGTTAGATGGTGATGACTTCTTCTTTTTTGTGAAATTCGAGAGATTAGCATCCCAATCTCTACTGATCAAGTGAAAAAATTCAGACGTGAAAACAAAAGAAAATTACTGAAATAAACAAAACAGACCTGATAATAGGCTAGATTTATGTAATTTGGCGATTGTTTATGCCCCAGCTTGATTATGTTTCAATGTCATAGTATAGTTAAATGATGAAAAATGGGCTCTAATTGTGAATTTCATATGTTGCAGGATGAGGAGCTTGTATGAGGCCTTAAAGCTATGATTGGAGCTACATTGAAGCAAGAAAAACCCCTAGGAGCTGAGTACGTGCGAAGACGAGAAAAAGAATCGAGGAAATAAAGACCTGGACTAGCGCCTCCACTAGCGCGACCGTGCTAGTCCAGATGCGGGAGGCAAAATGTTAGTCCACTAGCGCGGCCATTAGCGCGGCCGCGCTTCCACTAGCGCGGCCGCGCTAGTCCCAGTTCCGGAAAGAAAATTTTCAGGGGTAAACTTGGAAGTCTGGGGGTAAATTCACTTAACTTATATAAGGTCAAGCTCGGCCAAGGATTGATTATCAAGGTTTTCATAGTTTAGTGCAAGAAAAAGAGACGCAAGAGGCAAGGAGGAGATTTCAACATCAAGTTCTTCTTTTCTTCCTTTTGTTTTTACGATTTGTGATGAAATTGAATATTATTGAGATGAACACTACTATGAGTGGCTAAAACCTATTGTTCTAGGGCCATGGGTGAAACATGAATGTTGTTGTTCGGAGTTTAATTTGACGAAGTTGATTTTATCAAATTGGGTTGTTTATTTAATTCTGTTTTTAATTATTTTGCTGAGTAGCTAACAGTGAAATACTATCTACGAATCTATAGTTGAACTCGAAAGTGGGAACTCTAGATTGCATATAGAATTAAATAGAGCAAGTTCTTGAACCTGGGCATCGGGGAACGGATTCGCAATTAGGATAGACATATACCTAATTGCCTTGCTTGGTTGAAATACAGGAATTATGAATGCATTCTTGTTAATCTTAATTCCATAGACATATAGGCATTAAGTTAACTTGAATAGGCGAGTAAGGATTCGACAGATTCTTATGAGTAATATCAACCCTGTCGATCAACAATCCAGATAAATCAATTAGTTATTTTAAGCCAAGAACGCAACAAGATTGTTATCTAGCCCGTGCTGACCCTGAAATATTCTCTCATACTGATTGTTATTCGAAATTGCTATTTGTTTAGTTGATTATTCTAGTTATTTCATTAATTGATATTTTTAGGTAGTAAATTAGAGACGACTATATTTTGTGAAAAATCTCTTGGATCGATAAGTTAATTGAGTTTGAATCAGTCAATAGTTAATCACAAGTATTCGTGAGAACGATACTCTACTCACTACTTTATTACTTGACGATCACGTGCACTTGCGTGAGTGTTTTGGTCGCAACAAGACCATCTTCAAGTTGGGTCGAATCGAATCTCCGCAGCCGGCAGCCTTTAGGTGTTTATTTCTGGAACTGGAAGTAGCCATCTCCCACTTGTCCAGTTGCATGACTTCTCCAATCTGTCTCGATAAACCTTCCATTCTTGTGAAGAACATGTGTTGACGATGTCTGTGACTCAACGAAGCTACTTTATGTGTTGACGATGTCTGTTTGCCTAGCTGAGAAATAACTAGGCCTTGATAGTGTATTTATTGTCCTTAAGGAATTTAAGTCTTTTACTTTTGTTTCAGGAATTATGGCAGAATTCTTTTACGATTCTACAAAGCCTATAAAATTTGAGTATCGAATTTTCACTAGAACAAATTTTGTGAATTGTAGATAGCAGAAAAAGAAGAAGATGGAAATCTGTTGCTTTTTTTAATGTATTTGGTTTTGGAGAGAAATATGGCATTTATAAATATTTTAGGTATCTTTTAAAATTAACAGACTCAATCTTTGTCTACGGGCAAAATCAATAGTCAATTTTTCAAAACCAGTAACTGTTAAAACATTTTGATAATTTAAAAATATTATTTGTCAAATAACAATATTAATAGATGACTAAAAATATTCACATCGGACTATTTAATCGGCTTAAGTGTCCAAGTGAAATTCTAATTTCCCTCCAAAACATCTTTCAGAATATTCAAACCATTCCTTTCTTTATTTTTTCAATGAGGGACAAGTTTCCTCTTCTTAAAAGCTAACATATCAACACTAACTAACATCTTGTTTGGATTATTGTTGACTATTGCATAGTATTGCATTGTTATCTTAAAACAATGTTTGTTTTGATTGTTTAGTTCAAATTAATTGTATTGTATTGTTAAATTCTTCGTTCCACAATAGTGAAAAGACCTATTTTTTAAAATAATCGATTTGGTATTATGGAATTGTTTCATATTTTTCTTTTTAATTATGTCCATCTTTATTACTCCATAATTCTATTTTACCATTTACCTTTTTTTTTTTTAAAACTCTAAATTTCCTATCTTTAACCTAGTTTGTTTTCCTCCCCTTTTTGCCAGAACTAATTCTGTCGTTCTTTGCCAACTATAAGAATAGGTTCTGCCATTCTTATCTAATTTGTCTTCGTTCGTTTATTTAATATTTTACTTTTCTGAATATTATTGTCATGATCTAATTATGAATAGAATGTACTTATTATTATTTTTAGTATTACTAACTTGTTCAATTTATTTTGTCAGAATTTGCATGAAGTTGATTGATTAATCTATTTATAAGATATAATTGGTGATAAATTAGTATAAATAGATTTTATTAAACTATTTTTATACGCAATTCTTGATAAATTGAATATTTAAATGTAACACCCTATTTTTTTTTTAAATAAGGGTGTATTGGTAATAATAATAATAATAATAATAATAATAATAATAATAATAATAACTATAGAAAAGTAACTACAAAAAAAAAAAAAAGCAAATAATGAAACAAAATAAATAAAACAAAAAGGAGATACAATACAATTGGGCTTAGCCCATGTCATGACAAAAAAAAAAGAGAGAGGAATAAGGATTTTAAAAAAAAGGGCACGAAGCCATTCTCTGGAAAACCTTAAAAAATACAGAAAGGGGGAAAGCAGCAAGCTGCGACAAGAAGAGAACAGAAGCCGCGGGTTTCGAAAAAAAAAAAAACGGGGGAAAAGAAAAAAAAAAAAAAGAAGAAAGAAGAAAGCTTTGGGCAAAGGCCTTAAGAAGAACTGGGAGTTGAAATTAAAAGTATTAAAGTTCTCCTTCGACTCAAGAGGTTAACCTTCTTCTTCTCATCTGTTGAATTACTGTATTTATGCAATTTCATAGTACAAAGGAATTCAATATCAACTTTCTCTTATATAAAAAGAAATATACAATTACTATGGAGCTAACAAGGCTATAAGGGTTTGGTTTAAGCACTGATAGGTCTAATTTTAGAGGAGTAAATTATACTAATTAGTTTGAAATTGATAGAACTATGGACTAGTTCTATGATTAATTATAAATTCACAAATTTAGACTCAAACATGGACCCCGATGATTGGGTATTCTAAGTTAGCCATGAATTAGCCTAAACAAGAGAATCAACATGAGATGATATTATGTAATTATAGATTGATTGGAGGAATTTGTACGAGTTGCTTGAGGTGAAGCAGTTGGTATTTCAGCACGAGTACTGTGAGTAGTAATCTTACCGCAATTTGTATTTTTACAACTAGCATGATTTAAATATGATTTTACTATGAACATATTACTGACTGATTTGAATTTGCATGTGGGACAAGTCCTTTACTCGATATGATACCGAAATAGTTATTTGAGATGAATACCGTGGTTTTAAATATTTTCATTGTCACTAGATCTGTTTTACCGTTACTTGAATACTGTTATCGAAAAGAAATTATATGATTTGATAAGAACCAAAATGCCCTATATTGTTTTAAAAGGTTCTACGAGTATATATGGATTACAGAGACAAGTATAAATGGGAGTTGACATTGGAGGATCCCGTAGCTAACGACGGGTTCGTTAGACCTGGTGCACCTTGTAATTTACCGATTACCGTTATAGCCCTCGCTAGTGGGAAGGTAGAACTAGCATACCGTTACCGATTTTCCCTCGAGTAGGGACTACCGTTATATATGACTTCTTGCAAAGAAGTCCACAGATATACGATTACATGATCCGTTCATTGAAACCTCCCAAAATGTTAATACTGCTATTATACAGTGGTTACCGAGCTTATTACTGAATTGTTAATTATATTATACTACAAGAAAACGTGATGAGACTGAAAATTAAATTATTGCTTCTGAAAGGGCATTTTTATGTAATTTTCTATTTGAGATACTAGCATGTTTTCTGACTTGTCCCCGAATAAAAACAGTTGTCGTTAAGTGTTATTACACATTGAGCTAGCGACTCATTCCCCGCTAATTTTTTTGACAGAGACAACAGTTGACGCGGGCGAGGATTTCGTTAA